TTTTCAATTACTCCTTATGAAATCATCAATAATCGCAAACCTAACATTAATTTTTTCCATGTATTTGGTTCCAGGTGTTTCATTTTCAACTCAAAGTAACAACGAAAAAATTTGATGCGAAATCTGACGAGAGTATATTTCTGGGATATTCGCTAACCTTTATGGCATATAGGGTTCTTAACAAAGTATCCAAAAATATGGAAGAAACCTACTACATCACGTTTGACGAAAACTACTTGAAGAGGATTCAGTCGAATGAGAGTCAATCAAAGGAAATCTTTCCTAAGCCATGTCCAACCATGATTCCTTTAGCCAATATATATGAGGAATTCATGTTACTTTTTGACGAGCCAAAGAAGGCCATTTCACCCGAATCAAAAGTAGCTGACAACAAATAGGATGAATTGAAGAAAATAATAAACGATGCTGCGAAGGATTTACCACAACCACCTAGTGCGAACATCCCTCAAACCACGAATACTACATTCCAAGGGGGAATTCTGACTCCAATGCAAGTCCTCAGGGGGAGCAATCTACCCCACAATACACAAACATTCCATCATATGGGGAGGGTTTTACTTCGTTTTTCTCTTCTGAACCACCCTTTGATAAAGATGAATCACCTCCCATAATGACTCACGAACCTCCATTCACAGGTGATACTCCAATTCCTGAAGAAGAGGACCTCTCGTCATTCAAGGGGGTGAATAAAGATGTGGATGATGATTCAGACGTTCAATCAGAATTCAAAGAAGTAAAATGCTAAACTGGATCCCTCTTATGATCCAAACTATCCTCCACTAACCAAATGAAGCAGAGATCACCCAAGAACTCAAGTAATTGGCGAATCTTATGTAGGAGTCCTTACCATGTCTCAACAAAAAGCGAAACAAACTGCATTATTTTCTAAAGTGGAATTTTGTATGTTTAACTCATTCGTTTCCAAGGTAGAACCCAAAACGGTTAATGTTGTTCTCAATCATTCCAATTGGGTGCAAGCGATGCAAGACAAAACTCAACGAGTTTGAACGAAACAAAGTTTGGAGGCTAATTCCAACTCCACCGGATGCATCAGTTGTAGGTTTAAAATGGGTGTTTCGCAACAAAATGGATAAAGAAGGGAATGTTATAAGAAACAAGGTGAGACTCGTGGTTAAGGGGTATTTTCATGAAGAAGGAATCGACTATGAAGAAACCTTTGTACCTGTTGCAAGGTTGGAATCAGTTCGCATCTTCTTGGTATACACAACGCACAAGAACTTCGAGGTATTTCATATGGATGTTAAATGTGCATATTCTTGAACGGAGAATTAGAAGAGACTGTATACGTGGAACAGCCACCTGGGTTCGTAAATAAGAAGTATCCTAATCACTGCTATATCTTAGACAAGGCATTCTATGGTCTGAAGTAAGCTCCAAGAGCCTGATATGAAACTCTCACTTGTTTTCTTAAAATGTCCAAATTTAAACAAGGTTCGGTTGACCCAACCTTATTTCGCAAGAAAGAGGGTGACCACTTGATGATCGTCCAAATTTATGCTTATGACATCATTTTCGGTTCTACGGATCCCATCCTAATAGTTGAATTCTGAAAGTTGATGGACACTAAATTTGAGATGAGCTCCACGAGTCCAATTAACTTTTTACTTGGATTAAATATAAGATAGGGATTGGAAGGCATTTTCATAAATCTAGAAGAATATACAAAGACTTTACTCACTAAGTTTGGCATGATGGGAGACTTTAAAGCGAAGGTTCTAATGGCATTCGGAATGAAACTGATCCCATCTGGAAAAACTAGCTGCTGATATGACCCTTTATCGTCGGATGATAGATGTATCTAACAACTAGTAGACTAGACATTATGTTTTCTGTTTTTTATTGTGCTAGGTTCCAAAAAAATCCTCACGAACCTCACATGGTGGTTGTTAAGAATATCTTCAGATACTTTAAACGAACCTCATCACTTGGCATATAGTATCATGCGAACACAGGATTCTTCGTACAAGCGTTTTCGGATGCTGACCATGGGGGATGTGGATTAGATAGAAAGAGCACAACTGGAGGATGCCAATTTCTTTATGGTAAACTTGCCAGTTGGAAATCCAAGAAGCAAACGTGTGTATCCTTATCAACAGCTGAAGCTGAATATATAGCTGCTGCCTCACGCACATCCCAGGTCATTTGGATTCATAGCCAACTTTGTGATTATGGCTTAAGCATGAAACAAATGCCACTATACTATGACTCTGAGAGTGACATTCATATTTGTCACAACCATGTGCAACACTCAAAGAAAAAACACATAGAACTAAGGTATCATTTCATTAAGGATCACGTAGAAGATGACAACGTTGAAATTCACATCGTAACATCCTCTGATCAGTTAACTGACATATTCACCAAAGCCTTGCCTGAAATAACCTTCAATAAAATTATTCAAGGCCTAGGAATGATGGAAGTTGAATCTGTTCTGAAACCACTTTCGCATACATAATAATTACACTGTGAATCGGTGTGAACGTTTGCAGTAGTTCCTAATCCACTGTTCATTCGCAGTCTAATTTAATAATAAGAACCGGTGCGAACGCTTATAGTAATTTACAGTCAACTGTTCATTCGTGGTTTGGATTTTCCAAATATCTTTTTGTACTTTATGTATATTATTTCTTATCTTTATTTTGTTTTTCAATCTTTTCTGTTTTTAATTCTTTTTTAGAAAAACTCAAAATACAAAAATATTTTATTTGTGTTTATTTTTATTTCTTTTATTTTAACAAATCTCAAAAACACCAAAAATATATTAAAAAGATCATGGAGGCACAAATTCGTATCATATCTCAATTCGTGTGATGGGGCAGGTATAAACCTCTTTATCTATGTATTAGCTAAGTGTCCCTAGAAGCATGTTGTTGCATGTTGTCCGAAGCCTCAATCGACTTAATGTGAAGCCTTAATGAACCGATTCTACCAATCCTTTCTTCCCAACCAGGCTGTTAAATTCACATTAGTCATGAGCTACCTTACTCTTCTCAGTTCAAGTTAAGAGTTATCTGCTTGGTCACTTTCGCATAGCAGAGGTAATCTCACTTCTCTGGAACCACCTTCTCACTTCTCCACTGCCTTCACACTCGTGAATTTAACCCTTGAGACTCTTAGCAATACTACTGAGGTTTATGGTTACACAACATCTGTTTAAATGATCTTAGCTTCATCTACCATGAACTAAGTGAAACCCAAAATCTAACACACTTAAATGAATTGATGGTGAACAATTAAACGTTCAAGATTTTCACCATGGAATTAATGAAAGCCACTTTCGTGGTTTGTACCAAGAAATCTCTTTTTCTTTGGCGAGATCTTTATGACATGCTCTTAACACAAGACACTTCTCCCATAAGATCCAGTTTTTTTTTTTTTTTCCAGAATTTAATCTTGTTACCAAAATAAATCCAATCCTACTCATTCAACTGACTACACTGGTCACACGAGTACTTTGTTCAACTCTCAGACTTATGTCAATTTTCGGAGTTTGGATGAAGATGAAGCCACCTTGTAAGCCTACTAAAAGATGCATTTCAATGTTTCTTATCAAACACTTGATCGTATTTCAACGGGAAACCACACACACACTTCTTAGTCTCTCTTAACTTCGAAGGAAGAGATCTTTGCCCGGGATCCACAATTTTGTGTCTTTATTTAGACATCACAAAATCCCACATACAAGTATTCTTTTATTCCTTGATCATTAACACTCTTGCATGAAGATCCTAGTGATTTTCAAAAGTCTGGTTCATGGTATTTACATTCAGTTTTAGGTTCACAATTCAACCTATATTCTCTTAAAATGAAGTTCGCGTTTATATGAGACAAATGGCATCACTCTGAACTGCGAAAGGGCAAAGCTGACGCGATAATTCACTCAGGATAAGAATTCAAATGGGCACGTGAAATTTTGTATGGACATCAACTTTATCGCCATATGACGTATTGATCGGACATAAACAATTGTCAAGTTGTGCTTTTTCAGGAAACATTTCAGTAATCAAGACAATCTCTCTCCGGATTTTTCTCACAAATCGAACGGTATAAAAGGATTTTGGCGCTTCATCTCTCATTACCACTCAAAAAATTCTCTCAAAGAATTCCAACAATCAAATCAATCAACTGTTCATCTCCTTCTTCTTTGAGATCTCAACAATGGCGGGCTCTTCTGAAACTCCCTTTGTTCAAGAATAAACTGGGTAATCTCAACTACTCAACATCAAGCCGCATCAAAACTTGATCATTGATCTTGATCCCTTCAAGTATGACAACCATATGCTCATCATCATAGAGTGTCTGAAATACTCTCCACTGGTCACAACCCTAACCAATATGGAAACTGTTCCGATATCGTTACTTTCAAAGGCATACTCTTCTGCGTGTTACATTAAAGAAGAACAAAGAATCAATTTTCAGATCCTCGATAAAACAACCTCTATCACCAAAGCTCGATTCTCTTCTCTCTTAGGGATTGCTCAATCTGATGATTTGATTGATCTAGAATCCATCTCCAACTCTGCCCAGTTAGAGATGTTTTATCAAATAAGGAATAATGACACCTTGTCTGCATTTTCAAAATTCCGAAAACCTAACTTTCCGCCCCCAATGGAATGGGCTTTTCACAGTATTATTCAAGTCCTTTTCTGAAAAGGTAACCAGATCTGACTATGCCAGCAAGCTATTCGTGGCAATCATCTATCGAGTCTACACTAGGTTGAATATCGATTATGGTGATGTTCTCTGGGCCCAGGTAATTTAAAGTACCCATTCAACTACTCGTTACAGAGAAATATCTTGTGCACGCTTTTGGTCCATTATTGTTCAGATAGCCATCACCAAGTTGCAGATTACCATTATGCAAGATGCCCTGATGTCTAAATTTGCAACCTTTCACACCACGGGAATCATTGTTGCTGATTCTTCTAAGTTCACTTTTTTCAGATCAGTTCCTGAGGATGTGCTTCGTGATGTGCCTCCTATCAGTAAACTTCTTGAGAGCTATCGTATACCTCCTGCCTCAAGGTTTCATCCCCTAACTCTTGAAATGCAAGAAATTATTGATGAGTCTGATAAACCCAAGAAGGGGCAGGGGGTGGAAAGAAGGGAAAAAAGAAATAAGTTGGTTAGGAAGGTCCGAATGCACCTGTGAAACTACCCACAAAGCGAAAGGTGAAAGATGCTCCATCTGAAGCGGATTCTAAAAAGCAAAAAGTAAAGCAAGCTGCTCGCAAGCGAAAGTATCTTACTCTCACTCCTAGTGAGAGTGATCATTCACAATCTGACACCTTGTTAGATGTTCGTAATAAGGAAGAACAACCCATTGATAATGAAGAGGATGAGCAAGTTCATAACGAGGAGGCTACATCTAATCCTGAGGTAACCCCTACTTAAAATGATTTCTTTCCATCTCCTCCTCATTCACCTGAACAAACCACAACACTAATTACTATTGCACCCTGCCCTCCACCTGTTTCTTCTCAAGAACAAAGCACCACTCCCTTATCCGTTCCTTTGTTCACTAATTCCACTGTTTCACCCACAACATCTGGAGAACCTACTATTTCGGTCAATGCATCTGATGTGGGGGCTAAAACTTCAGCTTTACATCGACTCATGTCTCTCGACCCATTTCCCCAATACACCGACATGATACTGACATGATCTATGGAGACGATGAAGATGATTTAGCAGGTTTCACATTCATTCCATTCACTATTTGGACTGCCAGTGATGATGAAGCTTCAGTTACAAAGGGGAAACTAAAAGCCATTCACGAAAAGCTTGGTTTTATACTTCATGCTTCTAAACCTTCTTCTTCTGATGAGTACTCCAAATCCTCCATTAAGTCCATTCTTGAAACCCTCACCAAGGAGCATTCATCTAATCTAAAAAAGATGAACAAGGCTATGAATGCCTCTACCTCAGTCTGCAACAAAACGACCGAAAAATTCGATAAACTAAATTTTGATGCTACTACGTTTATGAACAACTTCGAGTCTTCTTTTGAGACCAATACAGTAAGAGCTAATGAAGCAATTGCAAATCTTGGCTCGTCTCTTAAGGCTGAAGAACAAAACTGCAAGAAGTCAGAACTGGAATCACCACTGATCACGAAGAGTTCAAATCATCCATTTCTTCTCAAATCTCTAAACTTCAGGATGATCTCGCCATGGAAAGCAAGATAACAGACTCCCTTGCCATTAAAACTGAATAATTTAAAGCTCTCACTGTTAAGCTTGAACATGCTGAGAAAAAGATCCAGGATCTGATCACTGAGAAGGTAGTAATGAAAAGTTGCATATCTAATGTTAATGGCCTCCTCTCAGATATTATAGAGACCAGGGACCCAATGATAACAATTATAGTTTAGAAACATCTTACTGAAAAGCTAAGACTCGTGTTCGCTATGCTACATCGCTTGGAGGGTGTTCTGGATCCTTCCTTTATTCCGAAACAAGGGGGAGATCAGCCGAAAAGGCTTCAACAACTTCAGCAAAGCCAACCACTTCTATCAAGCCAAGTATTAAAAGCGAATATGAGCCTAAAGGCAAAGACAAGCTTTTTTCTGAGGAGTCAATAGTTGATAACAACGATGAAGAAAAGCTTGATGAAAAAGAACTCAAAAGGAGAAAGGCTCGTGAGGCTGAACTAGATGAGAATCAAAGAATTGTGAGAGAGGATGAAGCCAAGGAGAAATCCGAAAGAGAAGCAAGGTCCACTCTTAAAAGCATGAAACTCTTATTTCTTATTTAGATGAAAAAAAGAATTCAAAGTCAAGCTATTGATTCACCGAACCAGTATTGGTTAGAACCGGTTGTGTTGTTCGACCTCCAGAATATTCAAGACTCTCAACTGTATCTTCCAATTACATTTAAAGCATTCAAGTTTTTTTCTTTTATCAAGTTTCCAATGTTCCCATCTTTGATAATGGTGCTGATCAACTTCTCTTCCAATTTTATCTTAAGCACATGAGGTCGCAATACGAAACTTGGAGTGCCAGTAGAATCACGGCAGTGAAGGTCACTGGACCAATCGAGGCTGACAGTTTTCCAAACGCCAAATTCAAAGTTGTCAGAGGTTCTGCGAGTCAAGTTCATGAGTTCACTCTCACAGACCTGCCGTGTATCGATCCTTATCTCTAGATAATTCTCTACAACTTGTTGTTGCGAGACGCACAGAAGTACGAACCTATCATTCATCACCTTAAGCTTATGATCATTTCGTATATCCAAGAGGTGGGCACTATGGATGTAGATATAGTTGCAGTGTTACGAAAGAAGCCTACTGATGTTCCTAAAGAAGCTCCTGAGGGGTTTGAAAATTTGAAGCTTGGAAAGATCTACAAGGAAAGTTGGTATGTTGTCTTTCAAGCGAGGGATAAGAATGATGCTGACTCGCAAAACATGTTTCTTCCTCCCTGAAAAACACTTATACACCACATCTTGTCTTGAGTTTATCTTGGATCTTGTCAACAAATACAAGGGCAACAGTGAAGATGATAAGAAGTGCATCCGGACATGATTCGTTGGTATCTCCAGGTTTGTAAAGCATTATTGAGCATAATATTGAAGGTGTTTGAAGTACAAAAGCGAATCCAGAGTTGATGTTCGCTCGACTTAATTGATGCAAAGGGGGAGATTGTTGGGTATTAGATGTTGCGTGATTGGGCTTATTGTATATTCTGTTATGTAAACGAGTTGGGTCTGTCCATCCCATATTTATTTCTAGGGTTAGAGTATTTAAGATGTATGGATGCATTGTATTTTAGTTAAATCTGATATTATTTTGTAACCCTAACCATGCCTCTACAGTATCAATTCTTTTTCGAGTTCTTCTGAGGCGTGACTTTTAATTATTCAACATATTTTGAATCATCGTTGTGTTCTTTACTTTAATCTGTGTGAATCTAAATGATCTTTTCAAGGATTTACATCGTACGTAACACATAAAGCACAAGCCATTGATTAATGTCATAACTATTAACAATCATGGGCCAATGTTTATTTATGCAAAAGACTTTGTTGGTGTGGAGAAAACTAAAATCGCAATAGCAAACTATTTTCTTAGAGTCATCCAAAACAGTATGACCAAGAAATTCCCTATAAGTCATTACATATAATGCTGCAAATTGCGAGGTTGCCTACAAGGAAATTGAGAAGGTATACAAACACATCTTTTGGTCTCCTTGTTGCGTGCATACATTGAATTTCATTTTCAAAGATTTTGAAAAAATATATATATTGGTTGATGACAACATATAAAAGAGGGCAAGTGATTGTTAAATACTTACTTAATTACAATCACACATTGACAACTTTTAGAGATAACTCAAAGCTAGAGTTAGTAAAAGTGGAAGAGACAAGTTTTACATCTCATTACACATTTTTGAAAAGGTTAATGGATTGTAGACAATCTATTTCTACAACCATTGCCCTTGATTCTTAGAGGCATTAGGTGAAACAAGGATGTGAAAATACCATGAATACAAGATCAAAGGTTGTTGATACCCTTAGTAGTGAAGAGTTTTGGGAAGACATGGAAATTATTTTAGCCCAAACAATGGGAGAAATATACAAAAAATTACAACATGTTAGGAGAAATTAAAGATGTGATGTCAAATAAAAAATATGATTCTTATTACCCTGAAGTTGAAAAAAATATTGCTAGTTTGATGGGAGAAGATGATGATTATGTTACATTGTTTGGGATTTGATTTATCTTTGCGTTTATATGATACATAATATCTTGTGATGTTAGCATCTGCTGGAATAGTTGAAAAAGCTCCCAAACTACACAAAGAAGTGGTACTCAGAGTCATGGAAGCTTTTAAAAGAATAGCTGAGAGTCAAGAAGAAGAGCGGATGTTACTGGAGCAATTTGCTACATTTCACATGAAAATGGGACTTTATTCAATGATAGCAGCTTAAACGGATACTGTGACGTTGTATACAATTTGTATTGTGGTGAAGTTATGGTTCGGAAACTCCTAAATAAGTTTAAGTTTCCAAAAAAGTTCTTTCAGAACCCATTAGAAGCTGAAGTTGCAACATTTGATAACTTCTACCCTTAGGCTTTGCTGGTAGGATCCTTGGGGTTTTCTTTTTAGCTTTTGGGCACTCCTCCTTCATGCGACCTTCTTCTACACAAGTGCATAAAGTTTTCCCTTTTATTGGGAAGTTTGTAGAGATATTCCCTGACTTCTTCCATTTGTAGCAGATGACACAGTCGCCAGAATCCCTCTTATTGCATTGGTCGCACCACTTTCCTTCATGGGTTCTTCCAAACTCACTGCTTGAATTTGAATACTTCTTGTTCTTGTCTTCGTTTTTGTTGTTTCTTCCTTCTTCTCTCCTCTTCTCATTGACTTCAGCTTTGTCAATTGTCTTTTTCTTCATCATCCCTTTGACAGACTTTGCAACCCAGACGGTTGCATCAAATGTACGTGCCTACTTAACCGACATAATGTACTCCCAATAATCCCTTTTCATACCGATCAATCTTGGTTAGCTCGTCCGGAACAAGTCGCAGGGTAAAATCCATTTTATCAGTGAAGGAATTGGTAGACTCATTCACTGGCATGCTTCCATTAGTCAAAGTCAAGAATTGATTCTCCAATTCCAACATTTTCTCAACTGAACATAACTTCCTCTTGAAATGGGTCAAGAATTCATCCTATGTCAGTTGCAGTGGCTTGTTGGGGCTCACAATCTTCCTTAACATGTTCCATAAACAAAGTGTTGTCCCCTTGAACTACCTCACAACATAGGTAGTTTGTAGCTTATCTATGCATCCACACGTTATGAAGGCCGACTCTATCTCTGATATCAAATCCAAGACTCCTATGGGATCTTCTTTCATGTTAAATGACGATGGCTTGTAAGTCATGAAATCCTATAACTGTAGTAGCTTGTGGGTTCATCATTTCTTTGGACCTCTAATTGCTCTGGTCTTTGATAACTTTTTGAGTCATCATTGTTTCCTTCTTAAACCATCGTAGAATGCGAGTGAATAGGTCCATTGTTGACTTGTTCAACAACTATTGGCTCATTGATCATAAGTGCTCCTCTTCTAGCATTATCTGTTTCTTGAGCGAAAAGCTCCCTAAATTCACAATGTTGTTGATTGATCATTTCTTACATCATTTCTCGAGCTTCATTCACCTGGATTTGAACAACAGTTTCTCCATCGTTATGAGGTGTTGGACCTCCTTCATTATTGTCTAATTGATGACTCTAATGCTCCTTTTGATTGTCATGACAATTTATATACCCAATTAGGAATTTAGTATACCAAGACGAGAATATAGGTAGGGAAGGTTTAGACGCAAAATCCTCCTTATTACTCTGAAAAGTTATATGCCAGTTCCAATACCGTAATTAAATGTTTAGAAATTTGAACACATAAAATTTCCTAATACTAGGTCATCAACAAACCTTGACTTTTCTAGTACTTAGCAATCTTCATAAAAACCTAAGACATGTTATACATATCATTTAGCACATATAAGGCATTTCTAAAGTATGCTAGTGCATAATATAACAAATAAAGTATTTAACCTACGTTATCTATATATTAATATTTTGTTTTAGCACCTAATTTTATTTAATGTCTATACCCTAAAATATCATAGTGCTTGTGTCTATTCAGGTTTACGACCTAAAATACCCTAAGGATGTCATAACCAATATAGATACATAAGTTACAACATAAAGACTTGATGATCCTGAATACTGTTGTATGTTGTCTCTTAAACACTCAACATCCTAATCAAGTTCCATTAGCTTAAGCTTTGATACATGTGATGAAAATAAACTGTGTGGGTCAGGTTGGGGAAATTTGGTGAGATACATAGGGATTTCAATCCCATAATATTGATATGATAAAATTCCATAATTGTCAGACCTGCAACACTAACCGTTACCATACAATATCCATACATGATTACATTCCTACATATTTATTCCTACCGATCCTCACAGATCCTAATCCAAGATTATCAGGGATAATTATCTCCTCGACAAACCATTTAAGGTAGGTGTTTGACTACACAACTAGGGGCTACCATGGTCGATGTAACTTTAAGGCACCCAAGCCTTCAGAATAATTCGATGAATAGGATATTACCTTTCATCTACATCTGAAGGTTATGAGCCTAAACTAACAACATAATTCACAAGATCACCTAGAATTATTAAGTGTTGTCACCTACTTTGTGGGGGTGGCCATACATACCACTATCAGTTGCCTGATCGGGACCCGCCATTTTTGGTAATCTCGTACGGAGCTACCGTACATCAACACCTGTCATGGAACAAAAGTTTACTCTTAGTTCCTAGGTTACACACATTCTCCTAATGAGACCACCTAATATGAACTTAATTGAACTAGGTATCTTCCATAACTTTAAGTTTATCCCTAAACTAGATTACAGTGCCTGAAACCAACTTTTTAATACCAACTCTATTCTTGGGAAACACTAACTTATCTTAGGGTATATATATTCCATAAGAGTATTAGGTATTGTTAATCATTTATCTTCTTAACAATTTTACTTTGAATATTATTATATAATACTATATGTTTATCCTAACATAAAATAGAACCATATCTAGTTCACACATAGCTCACTATATATCCTAACATATAATCCACACAATAATCACATAATTCACATATGACTTAAATCATATATTTAATATTATAATTAATACTTGTATTAAATCTGTTCATGAAAGAGACTATGTACTCACTTAACTTAGGTGTGTGATTGGTGATCTGGGCAGATCTTTGCCTAACACCTCACATATTTCTGAGACCTAAGTAATATTAAAACAATGTTTTAGTCTAATGATCATGGAGACTAATAATAGTCTAGATCCTCGCTAATCCTAATGTTTACATCAAGATCTAACGAGTAAGGATCGGCCAGGCATGACAGCTGGAAGACAGGATCATTTCGACATATACATTTTCTGAAATCCAATAACCAACACAATGTAACCATTCTAAACACCTCTCCTGTAAGTAGATCAATCAGTATAATGACTTGGAATTACTGATAAATATTATTTATAGGTTCATAATAATGACTTATGACTATAAATATAAATTACACTAAAATAAAGTTGAGTGTAATTTAACTTACAGAGGTTTCCTAGACAAAAGTCTGAAAGTTATACTGGTAGAGCTTCTTCTCGATAGCTACCACTACTTCATGGATCACAGGGCTTCACCGCAAACTAAAACCAAGGAAAATGAGGATAGAAACGAAGGAAAAATGAGAGAGAATGATATAAGAGGTGAGGAGGAATGAATGAGGTTTGGTCTCCTATCTATAGCCGATTTTGGGGTGCGCGACGTGAAAAAACGGGTGCACATCACACATTTTAAGGTGACGTCTCCACAAACACTTTTTTTCCTA